AAAACAAGCACTGACATTTAACATTGGTTTAGCAAATAGTCCTAGGACGAAGTCATATTTTGGCTTCAGCAACTTTGCTAATACACCCTTATTAGAACTAGCTCCCTCGTTAAGTATCTTCAGATTAAAAGGGTTTGTTGACTCTCTAAGCAATAGCAACTACTGATTTTCTGTCAATGCCCAGTACCCGACTAGGACCAAAGACCTCAATGCCCACCATGTGCTCATCAGTACACTTTGGGGAAAAGCCTGTAGAAATTGCTTCTACTACAGAAGATGCTCATGTGCTGTTTTCTGCTCCTCTGTCATTGTTAATCCTGACAGCAGAAAAAGAAAACAAGCATCCTGAGCTTATGGAAGAAATGCTCTGTTAAAAAAATAAACTAAGAGAGACTGAAAGTGTACTGCTGAACTTAACATAAGAGCAGAGTCAATCAATCTAAAACAGTTAGAGGAAGATGCAAGTTAACCCACCAGTACAACACTATTTCCTCTTATATCACTGCGAAAGGCCGTCAAGTCCCCCATTGCTGCCCAAATCTGGCAGATACAATCTCCAGGAGAACAAAGGCAAAACCTGTGGAATTTAACCCTTGTCCAGGGAAACAGCTGTGCCAGTGAATTATAAAGAAAACCACTCCCTCCGTCTCCTAGTTTCAACACAAAACCAGCTGTCAGGCAGCAAACTCAGCAGAATACCAACACTTCCCCTCTCAAAGAGCTAAGACTCTCCAGACAGTTGAACCCAGCTGCAATTCAACAATTACAACTTTCTTGTTAATTCACATAAGAGTTTTCTGGGAGACAGGGCAGACACAGAGACATGGCCATTTCCCACGTTACCAGCCTTCTGGGCAGAATACTGTCTACTCATGGTTGACTAGGTCACCAGTTTCTGTCTTTTCTGCAGACATTCAAGCTCTAAAAGCCTGTTAATAAACCAGGCACATCAACTGTCAGTGAAGGACACATCAGCATCTGACCAACTTAAGCCTGTGGAGCCTGGAAACCATCTCCATAGAATATTACGTGTCTTTATACTGTTTAAGTGGGAATACTTTGAGATACTCTGCTCTGCGTATCCAAAAAATGCTTTGCCATACAAAAAAAAGGCATACTTGTAGGGAAAGATACTAGATTCAAACACTTTCTTCAGTGACTAGCAGTCTTAGTAAAACATGCATTACTTCCAGTGCTTAGAACAGCAAGTGAAGGAGAAATTCAGATGTTAAGATCCTTTGATCTGAAGTAAAATGCCAATTCATATGCTTTCAAAGAAATAACATTCTTTCCCAAGAGCTGCAAAAATGGAGAAATGGAAGAGGTGATAAAGAAGTCCACAGAACAACATTTTTTGAACATAATCTGTTTTAAAACATGTTTTAGTGGGACCTCAAATTCTGTTATGCCAGGCCTCTCCCATACACACTCGGAATATACCCTCTACCAACAAAACCTGTAATGCAATGCAGGAAGAAGGCAAATAGAGAAGCAGGTGCCAAGTTTTTAATCTTAACTCCACAGTACCAATAGTAAAATGCTAGATTGAAAATAAAGCTAAATGGTTTGAAACTGAGCAAGAAACTTGCAAGTAAATCTATAAAGGAAAAAAATTTAAGGCAATCAGAATTTACAAATATCAGCTCCAGAAAGACTGTTCTTAGCACTGAAATGTCTACCTTTGGCCTTCAAGACTTCATGTAAATCTTTTCCCTCAGATAGCGTGCACCATAAAGACAAGTTGACAATTCCATGAATTTACATGCACCCTTCTGTCAATACCAAAACTATTTTTGAAGTCTTCTTTTGCAGATAATAAGTACACACTTCTGTAACAGAAAAGGCTTTGAGTAAGTTCTATGATTCAAGTTAAAAGCCTCAAGTTATTTGCTTACCTTCAATTATTCTTAAACTTTTCTTTTGTACCTGAAAATCTGTTACATCCTTCTGCCTCCTCCTTCAAGTCACTTTGGTATTTATGCTCTAGAAAGACTCTTATAGCTGCATGCAGGTATCATGAAATCTGCCAGAGGTCAAGTAAGTTCAACTTGAAGTCAAAACCCATGCTTCCTGAGAAACAATCCAGGTGACTATCTGCCCAAATTTCTTCTGTCCATTCAGATGACTTGGGAGCTATGCATACTTCCCCCCAAATCCTTACTGCAGGTTATCAAACATTTTAGAGCAACAGGTCTCCACTTCATGGGTGCATTTTGGTGCCACATAGGACAACTGCACAACGCAGCTCAACTGCATGAAAGAAATAATTATTCAGGAACATGAAAGCCTAATGACTGGAATAAAGGCAAAGAAAATGGTTCTTTTGTTTACTTCCTGTCACTGACAGGTTAAAGTATATTTAAAAAAAAGTCAAGCACAAGGTTTTTAGGGCTGCATAAAGAGTCCATTCATTTTGGGGAAGTATCATATCTATTAGAATACATCTATATTATGATATTCAACAAAGTCAATATGATTAGCTTGTCATAAGTAGAAGCATTTAAAAGCATATTAAATAACCATGGTTGTCCTACCATCAAGACACTATATAGCTCTCATCCACTTTCCTTCTCCAACATAGGAATTCCTTGATCGTTACCATCAGCTTCAAGTGGTTGCATTTAGCCACTAGAATACTAATGAAGCGGACACCACTTGAGTCCTTTTACAAGGCTATGTTTAGCTTGTGTGCCCAAGTACTATTGCCACCTACGGAAGAACAATAACTTTATACTACTGTTATCTAAACAAGAGCCTCTTCAGAACCCAAGGAAAATCCTGCTTTTGAACTAGTAAGTCATCTCTGAGGCAGTAGCACATAGCCAGAATGTACAGTAGAGCAAAAAAGTGAATCCTAGCTGGTATTTGAGCAACAGCTGTGCTGAGGCTTATACAAGACAGAGGAAGATATATAGCATAATGTTTTTTCCAGATTATTTAGAACACTGCAAGTATGTCACATAATAAAGGCCATTTGGCAAGCTAATATTGGTACTTTTGACAGCAGAGTGTTTTGGGATGATCCATTTGAAGCATCAATTATTCAACCTTTTAAGAACAAAATTTAAAGATATCACAGTATTAGAAACAAGAAATCACAGAGGACAGGAATAAAACTTTACACTGAAAAAAAGTCAAAAAATCAAGAGGCCATATAAGGCAGAGAAAGTGAAGCAGTTCAAGACAGAACAGCAAGGCCCAAATGGCAAAAACAAATTTCTGTGGCAGCACTTTAAGAGACTGGGAAAGAGAGAAGACATCAAATACAAGAAAGCTAAATATTTGTAGAGAACAAAAACAAAAGAAACACATACTTTTAGCATAGGGGTGAAAGCAAACAAAAAACCAAAAAGGACTAGCACGTGCTAAGAATGCCTGAAAAAGCAGAAGAGAGAATGAAAGTACTTTAACCATTTTATTTCCAAAATTCTAAAATTAAACACTTCAACTCATCCAAATAATTTCTATTTGGCTAAGCAAATGTACAGAAAGAATTATAGAACATAAGCAGTTACAGGCTTTTACTTTGGGCTATTCCATCTGCAGGTAACAGGTAACTCTCATTATTCAACTAGGAAAGTCAGACAAGAATGAAAACAGCCTTCAAAAAAAGATGTTCCCAAACACACAGTCAGATAAACATATTTATGTTCAAAATATCTGCTAGTACAACTCAACTTTTCTTTTTGTAACATTAGCAAATTCAGCTATTGGCTAAGACTTTGCACCTTCTACACATGGTTTACCACCTTCCACATAATGCAAAGAAAAAGACTCTGGGCATTTCCCGTTATCATGATACTGAGAATGTCCTATAGAAGTTATAGCAGTGTACAGCTCACAGTGCACTGGCTTGGCTTATTAGCCATGAATACCTGTTCTGACTTCTCATTACAAGGACACTTGAAACTAAATTCTATAAAGGTACTAACTAATCAAGTTAAGACAGCCTGATACGGGTTCTCATGTCAGCTGAACCATGACAGTGCTCCATGCACACACCCAGAATCTGCGGCAAATGCAATTACAGCAACAGCCCAACTCTTCTGCATAGAAGGCTACATTAAGTAGCATCAGCACGTTTTTGCTGCTGGCTAAAACCACACAGTTGCCGTAACTGAGCTGATACAGTAAACTCATTAAGCCATGATAAATTTAATAGTGAGCCTAAGATGAATGTCTCCTCCACTTAACTCTGCTGATAGCCATCTGTATATATCCTGGGAGAAGCATTAATTACATTTCTGAAACTCTCTAACCAGAAGGTACTTTTCTCCAATGCTTGGACATTACCTTCATATAACACCTAACTAAGCTGTGGAACACTTTTCCGCAGGATGTTGTAGCTGCTAAAGTTTACAAAGGCTTATGCACCAAAAATTCAAGAACATTGCCACTGGCTCAGGAAAACCACAAGCCACCAATTTAAAGGCTGGGAGAGTGTCCTAGGGAAGTAACACACTTCCCCATCCTTGTACTCTTCCTTATGAGTCTGTTACTGACTGCTGTCCGAGATAGGATATTGCGCACTGTGGATGTTTGGCCTAATCCAGTATGGCCATTCTTCCAACAAGAATGCTTGCAAACAGATTTTTCTGTCCTAATCTGTTAAACGATAGCAATTAGCCAAGGTTCAGATTACATTCAGCCAGAGTCAGTGTATCTTCTCACTTATAATTAATTGGAAGTTACAGAACAAAAATCTTTCGATATGAGCAGCGTCTCAGCAGAGAACAAACAAGTTCAAGTCCCATTTCTTTGAGGAGGGGATAAAAAAATATAATGCTGCTAAACTTACACTTAGCCCCATCTTGTCACCCAAGTTCCCATACATTCAACTGAATATTTCTGGTATCTTCCTGGGTTTATTACAATTATTTAGCAGGCATAAAGAAGTTGTAGGCTCATGGTTCACATTTCTGGAACTTATTTCAAGCACTGAAGCACTTCTATCCAAACTCATTTTTCCTAGTAAACCTAACAGATAACCACAAACTTACATTTTCCTGGGCAGAAGACAGAGGCGGATCCACTAAAAGAAGCCTCTGCTCACAGCTGTCCTCTTCAAAGGGTGCCTGTGTTGTTGCAGTGTCAGACATGTGTCCTTTTCTGAGCCGTAGACCTGGCTCTGGAGAACCAGCATTATCGAGTTCCGTTAGTTCATTCATGAGATGCTGGGAGCCTTCTCAAATATTCTTTTTCCTCTTGGTTCGGTTTGGCTGATAACGTGTTGGCTCTGAAAGACAAACAGTTTGTATAACTGAACTAAAGTTAAAAAGAAGAGCGCAAGGTGGCTGGAAGAAAAGCATGATTAAAAGCTACCAAACAGCTATGACAACTGCTTCTATATGTGCCCAAACTCCCACAGGATCAATTAATCATATAGGCTTCCACACTGCTGGACAATGAATTCTCATCTTGTGACCACTTTGTATCCTAACACAAATTAAACACAACTTTGAAAGATAATAGAAAGTGAGCTCCATAAAACAGTAAAATTCACAAAAGCACAGTGATGTTTTTACAGATTATTTTTATGAAGTTGCAAACACTGGGCTGTTAATACTATTTACAGATAAACTACTTATCACAGGCACTCTGTAATTATCAGCTTTTTGTGAGTATGAAGCTCATACCCAAGCTCAATCATCTGGGCTAGGTTTCACTGAAACTAGGATGCTAAGTACTGGTACAGCTGCTTGGGTAATAGCAAGCAAGCAGAGCTCAAGCAGCAACTAACTTTAGACAGACTGGAAGGAGGGCAGTAGTACACACAGTGATTATGTTTCCCTTGCTTAAATTAACGTGTTCACAATTACTGCTAGCAATGGGTCTGTAACTTTACTTATGTAAGGAATTAGACCAGACAGATTTAAACACCATTCATTCCATCACAGCAAAACCAGATAACTCCCCCAGAAAACCATAACCCATGCTTTCTAGTCAGAAAAGTAACTGTATTTTACACTTGTAACACTGCAAAAAGGATTTGGGGTAAATTTAACTCAAGATGCTAAATATTAATTAGATTTGCAGAAAATTACCTAATGACAACCTGTTAATCTGAGCCTTCATCCAAGAGTATTATTGGTTACCTATTTATCTTGTACACCACTGTGTGGTGGTCACTTCAATAGCCAGTCAAGAGGTATCTGTTTGACACTGGTAGCCTTGGGAAGCACAATAGCCAAAGCACTTTGCAATCAGAGAGCCAGAAACCACTAGAATGAATTAGCGCTCAGCTGAGACTTCAGATTCACTCTGAATGAGAATCTCTTCATTTTGTGCTAATCACTTGGTGTCATTCTATTACTGTAACATCTAAGTACTTAGATGTGACTAACACATAACATTAAGATAACCCATTTAACAAGTTTTAACTTGTCAGGGTGCATAATTAGACTGGAATTTTAGTGCCCAATAAAAGATGCTGAACTTTGTCATAACGTAGGAAGGAAAATTAAAAATATAAGATGGGATATTGGTATTGGCAATCCTGTAATAAAATGTCACCCCCAAAAAGCCAATAAATAATGTACTCCTTCCTTTCAGGGACTAATCTCATTTACACATGATCACTGCAAGATAATTCTCAGCTCTGACAAATGTGCTACAGTTAATTTTGCTGCAGCAGTTTGTAATACTATAGCCCCTCAGCTGCCTAGCAATCCCCAGAGGAGAGAGCTGCTAATGAGCAGGTAACAGACTTTGCAGAACTAAATGATACCTCAGTTGTCTGAGTTCAGTATGGCACACTGCTTTAATCACCCAAGAAGGTAAGTTTACAATATGACAGCAGAGCAGATGGTATGCCCACCTTCCTGCTAACTCCACTACAGGGTCAGTAACCTCCACCTAAGAAGTAACATCTAAAATGTCCACAGCTGTTTACTTGGTAAACACAAGAGCCACAGGACTATCACCCCATAAGAATTAAGCCAAGGGTTAACAACATTACACAGGAAGCCCAATGAAGAAGTTGAGCAAGTGGATTTTAAGACCAAGAACAAATATTTAGAAAGCCACAGAAAAACTGAAATCTTGACTGGTTTTGTCATATTTCAAGCAGCCAAGTCACAATTCTATTTTTATGCAAGAAACATGAAGACATCATCACATTGCCATTTGGCAAAACTGATCTAGGGAAGAAAGAAAAGAGTATGCAACAAGAACTACAGTTTGAAATGAAACTTATTGGGCGCCTTAATTTAAAAGACAACTTATAAGAGACTAATTTCAGTACAGTACACTGTACCATTTTGAAGCTGTAGCTAAAACCAAAAAAATGCAAGTAAGCAGAGCAGCTGTTTGTAAACAGTTACAAACACACATGCACACACCCCTACCTGATATTCCCCACAACATTTCAAACAGGTACTTAGTTAAAACAGTCATAGTTTCATGGATTGTTCAATTTGCATTAGACATTTAACCAGCAAGTTTTACTAGTTTTTCTTTCTACTAGCTTTAAGCAATAGAATTGCCATTGTGTGCTGCATTAACTGCTATATTGCCTAAGAGCATGTCCTTACATCACCTCTACGACACTGTGGGAGCAATGCTCAGAGACACAGTAACAACCAACACAACAAGCTTAACCACATTTGGCCAAGATGTTTGCAAAAGGTTCTTCTAATACAAGAACATATAAGAATGCCAAGAGACTTCTTAAATCGGGCCTTGAAGATTTACTTCACTAGCACCCACTGTCAAGCAATCACTACAGTTAAAAATAAAAGATGCATTTCACCTCCAGCGAGTGAGATTTGCATTCAGCAGTAGAGCTGAACTTTAGAGCTCTGCATAAATAGAAGTCATTGTTTCTTGAAATTACAGTGGCATTGCTCAATGAACTAAGATGTTTCCATGTTGTCCTTGATGCAGGATTCTTTAGTGCTAAATATGCTTGCCCTTCCTGCACATGCAAAGGTAAGCAAGCCAAAAGATAGACCAAAAGCATCACTACTGGTTTCTACTCATTTTTAAAAATGTACTACAAAAGCCAAAAACACGCGCCTGAATGCAACATGGAGTTGCCAGCAGAAAAGTGCTAATAGCCAGAACTATTTGTTCACAAGTGAAAGCAGTCAGATTATGAACAGGAAAGGCACAGATGGTCTTTAATTTCTGTTACAAAGTTTCTATGACGCCACAGTTCAGTGAAGGCTTTGAATGACTAGGATGACCTTTTCCTAAGAAAACAGGAAGTCTAGATATGGTCAGCAGCATCTAGCCAGAAGTCGATGGTTGAAACACCCTTAAGAGACATATTGCCCCATTCTGTCTTTAAGACTAGGCAGTTCATGAAAACAAAAACTAGAAAATGGAAAGCTATAGAACATTTGAGGTCTTGGAAGAGGTTGTTTTGTGTTTCACTGAGATTATAAGTCCTTTAACTTTTTTGTAGCATGCAACAAACTAAAAGCTTTCATTAAAATTAGATTCCATTTTAAAGAGGAAGTTGCCATGTACAACTTAAAACCTACTTAATGATTGCACGTATAGTAAGCATAATAGCATCTAGATCAATCAGTGAGTTCCTGCTGTTTAAAATCATCTGAGAAAAGCATCTACAGAGTTTGGTTTGTTGTTTGGTTTTTTTTTTAATACAGAAAACTTCTAAAGGCTAAGTCAGCTCTTAGAAAGGACTTACCAGTTTAATACTATCATAGTTCTAAACACAGCCTATAAACGCAAAATGTAGCACTCCATTAGTCAACTTAATATGCTGCTGCCACCACACAACCTACAATAGCCTAAGTGGTCATCACTCTCAGCTGCTCACTCCATCCCAGTTCAGAAGTCAACCCCACAGCAAGGAGAGTCAGTGCCAGTTTCAGGCTGTAGACAGACACTTGGCATCTTTCTGAAAACAGAATCAGAAGGCAATACCATTTCAGCAGTTCACTGCAATTGTGCAACGTCAGAAGAGTCAACATGCACGATTACAGCATATTTAGGACACTGCTTCACTCATCAAGATGACAAAGAGTAGTTACACAAACTGAAGCACCACAGGATGATGCTACTATTCTTTGTGCGATTTCCCCAAATATTCCCTGAATAAGTGACACAGACCTTCTAACCTCCCAGAATTCACCGGGCATGAGGACTGGTTTTCTACCTGAGCTAAACAATGCCACACAGTAGCAAAACAAAGAAAGCACACTAAGGGTAGTGTTTGTAGTTAAATTTAAGAGATCTGTCATTCCCTTTTTAGGATAAAACACAGTCCCAGATGGTCAGACTACCTCCCACTACCCCTAAGCAAAGCAATCTCTCCAGCATTCAACTCTTCTCAGTACGGCAGTATGTTCCTCCTATAAGAACCACAAGAATGATCCCTTCAAAGGTATTTCATTCTCTCTATAGCTGGTATGTGGAAGAAGAATGAAAACTGCACCCGCCTCCACTCCCCTGTCATAGATCCAACAGCCTTTCTGATAGGCACTTCCCTGTTCAGGAAGGCAACAGCACCCACTGTATGGATGTTAGCTCCTTCCTTGCTAATCCTCTTCAAAGCATCCATTAAACTAGCATAAGCAATGTATACACACTGGACAAATCTTCATAAGATTATCTCATTCTCCCTAACAGAGCTTAGTTATCAAAAGAAGTTATCAAAGTTATCAAAAGGTCATCATGAAGATTTCAGGCTACATCACTTCTCAGAACATTCATTAATGTTTAATGAAAGGCTTTAGTGCCTGAAAAGTCTTATAAGAGATACTCTCTCAATCTACAAACTTTGCCTTACCTGCGTCCATGTACCATCACAGCTACAACAGCATCACTAGTTGGCTGCCTACATCCATGCCAGTAGAATGGCAAAGCTAATTGAACAGTAAGCCACCTATGGGCTGAATAACTTTACCAAATCCAAAGTTGTTTAGACTAGGCCTCAGTAACAAAATAGACACAACTCCATTTCCAGAACTGTTAGCACAGGTGCAAATGGCAAAGCACTTCCAGTACAACCCATGGGCAGATTGTTCATGATAAGAACATGGCTTATATAGGGTGATGGAGGGGATTTTTTGCTTATAAAATAGTTGCTTCTGGCTACCTTGACTGAAATAAGGTATATTTAAAAAAAAGAAATGTAGCGTTCTTGGCACATTGTATTTCTACTACTATCTTCTGGTAGGGAGGTTCTGTCACAAGTAGTCCCTCCCAAATGGTGTACTAACACCAACAGTATTCAGTTGGAAAGGTGTTGGATTTTGTGCTTTTGGG